CCAGTGTCAAAGGAGTCAGCAAACTCGCAGAGCATTTTTTCAGAAACCTTGATTGTGTCCCTAACCAGGCTCCCGACTTCTTGTGATGCTTTAAATCTTCTTTCTTCTCCCAGGTTCTTCCACTTGGCTTTCGAAGAAGAGTTTGGCAGAGTGAAGGGTCACTTTGGTCCGATAAATAGCGTTGCTTTTCACCCTGACGGGAAGAGGTGAGGATCTCTGTGGCTCTTGCCGCGTGCCCCAGGCAAGCCAAGCCCCCCTTTCCGTTGGGATCTGGCTGAGCTCACGGGAGCTCTGCAGGGGGAATGAAGCCAGCACCTCCCTTCGTTCTCCCGTTCCAGGTCTGCAGCCTCATCCCAGGCTGTCCTGGGGGGTTCGCACTTCCACCCCGCTGCATGTTTCTGGCTGTGTCATTGATATTTTTTTTGTCCTGTGACTTTTTGTTAGTTCTTGGAGGTGGTTGTGAGAGCAGACTCCAATACCGGTGTAAACCTAGATGTGAGCTCCTGACAACCTTGGTGACTTTGTCTTGTCTTTCCTCCGTACAGTTACAGCAGCGGCGGTGAGGATGGCTACGTTCGCATCCATTACTTCGATCCCCAGTACTTCGAGTTTGAATTTGAAGCTTAAAGAAGGATTTCCTCTCCTCTTCCCTCTCCTAGCAGCCTCGGGGGCCACGTGAAGGTGGGGACCTGGAAACCCAGCCGGCTCCAGAGGACAGGACTGGCTTTCCCGGGAGGTGGGGAAGGCGAGGAGGGGAGCTGGGCTGGCTGCCTGCCTGCCCTGGGGCTGCTAGCTTCCTGCCCTGCCGGGCATATTTATATATCGGGGGAGAAAAAAACCATCGGGAAATAAATAGAGATCTTTTTGTAAACACAAGGAAAAGCACCTCTGTAGGGTTTTTGTTTTTGTTTTAGTTTTTTTTTCCTCTGGAACAAAATTAATCTGAGCGCTTCGCTTTCCCGGCAGTGCCTCCCTCCCCACCCTTGGGCAGCCAGCGCTGCCGCTGCTCCCGGGGCCTCTGTCCGCCCCAGGTTAACCCTTTCCCGGGCAGGACCTGCAGCTGTGGCTCGGGTCCGGCCCTGAAGTGCGGACAGGCTGGAAGCGCCGCAGCCGCTCATTGTTTTCCAGCTGACACGCACGCGCCCAGTTCTGGTGCTTTGTTTATGGGCTGGCCTGACCCTGAGCCAGCTTTCCTCACGGAACAGTTATTTCCTGCACTAGTACGCTCGCGTTGCAGATCCTCGTCCGTCCAGCCCTCTCGCCCCGTGTCTGTCTGTCTCTCTGGAGGGGTGCTCTGTATCTCTTTCCTTCCTCGAAACTGGGTTCAAGGGCAGATTTCCCGGGCTGGCTCCCAGCTCGGAGCGACCGATGCAACAATTAAACTGCAGCCAGCGTGTGCAGAGGGTGTTGCGGGTTTGGTGTGTTCTGCTGCTTAGTTTGCACTCTGCTGACCATGCCCGGCAGCCAGGCAGGACTGCGAGCCAGGCACGCCGCAGCGGGAGCTGCCAGAGGCCGATGCTGCTGGGGACATCGCCCTCCTGCCCTCCTGCTCCGCTGGCAATCCGCTGCTGAAAGCCCCCGGGGAAGAGCGCGGGAAGGAGCCACGCTTGCGAGGCAGCAGGGCTGCTCCTGCCCTACGTAAGTGCGGAAAGCAGGCGTGGGCTGGGGGAGAGACCGCTTTACTGAAACACGCTCAGTCTGCGCAGCCCCGAGGCTGCGAAAGGGACTCTGTCCCCCACCCCGTCCCAGAGCTGTCCCCCGGGCTCCACGGGGCCTGTGTCCTGCGCAGCGCTTCTGGAAAGCTGCAGCATCACCTCGGCCCGCCAGCCGGCGGGCACCGAGTCGCCCACGCCGCAGTTCCTCTCTCGTTCTCCGTCCGGGCCGCGGG